CCTCAGTCTTCGTGTTATATTTACCCCCTCAGTCTCCATGTTATATCTATCCCCTCAGTCTTCATGTTATATTTACCCCCTCAGTCTTGGTGTTATATTCATCCCCTCAGTCTTCGTGTTATATTCATCCCCTCAGTCTTCGTGTTATATTCATCCCCTCAGTCTTCATGTTATATTCATCCCCCCAGTCTTTGTGTTATATCTATCCCCTCAGTCTTCGTGTTCTGTACCCTTAGGCACGGCATATCTGATCGCTACCTGGTGGGTGGCGAGGTGGTGGTGCCTCTTCCACTCCGTCTTCTTCGGCCTCGTCTCGTGGAGGACGGACGGGCTGCAGCACATCGAGGTTTGGATGTACCGAAGGCAACGTCAGCAAGAAGTCAAAGAGGAATAGGGATATTTTTTTCTAGAAACAAATACATGTTATATTTAAGAAATAAAGATTTTCATTGTCTTTCTATAGTGGTCTTTGTAAATACCTTTTTAAGATTTTTTTTTCTCTCTCTTTAGGGACGTATCCCCCCCACCCCACCCCACGCAAAAAAAAAAAAAAATCTGAAAGGAATAATGACAAAATTGGTCATCGTCTCAGATATTGGCTCAGATCTAGCGAGGCACTTGATGAGAACTGCATTTCAGGGAAACAAGATGCTAAACTATTAATCATAATTAATAATACCAGATGAAATATCTTGTCTAAAGGTTTCGATGATGATGGTCATCATGTTGGCGATCATGCTACTAATAATGAAGATAAGATGATTGATACTTACTATGGCGATAATAGTGATAATGGTAACATTGATAATAATAACTTTAAGTGATAATAGAGATGGTAATAATAGTAGTTGTGATAACACAGCAACAACAGTAATGTTAATGACTGTAGTAATGACAACATAAACAACAGAACAAAATAACCTCTCCTTAAATCCCTTCCTGTTGTTGCCGTGAAAGGCTTAGGCGACGGGGACTGAGGCCCAGTGCTAGGCATCATCCCCACCCTTGGCCCAAAACTCTCGACTCAACTACTTTTGCTTGGTTTTCTCCTCCCTTCTTTTCTTTCTCTTCAACTTCCACTGTCTCTTCCTAAGGTGTGAGAGCCGCGTTGAAAGGCTGAAAGGCTGACTTTGTGCCAGTCATGAACGGCCTCCTGTTTAGTGGACCATTTCTCTGCCCGACATAATCCAGGGTTACCAGTAATGAAAGATTTTGTACCCATTTAGGGACAATGAGGCTTGCCACTTTATCAACTAGCCCCACTGATTTTACCCCACCCCCCTCTCCGCCGATTTCCTGATTCCCAGACTCTCCTTGAGCACGACTGAACACTACTACTGCCCCCTCCTCAACACATACTATCACCTCAGTTCAGGCCAAACCTCCTCCGGGAAACATTCCTCCTCTCCTCCCATCCTCTGCTTCACCTCCTCAGTCCCCACTGCCGTCTCCTCCCTTATTACTTCTCTGCAGTTTTATCATCTATCTCTCCGCAGTATTATTTAACTCAACACTACTCACTCCTCAAAAGGCCCCAACCTTCTACTACCAGCACCTCTACAAATCTTTTAAGAATTCTGGTTAGCCCATTCAGATGATTTTTTTTTTTAATCCCCTAACTGACGTCACTGCCCATTCCTGCCCAACCTCATCCCTACTGCAGTACTTGTACCAGAAATGTCTCAACCTCCCTGACAAACTGTCCTGTCTGCGGCAAGGATTGGTCACATTTGCAAAGATTACTTCTTGTAGACATGACCTCCCCTTCATGTTTATATTAGTGGAGAATCCCTCCCTTCCCGAACATATTAACCTCCCCATGAATCATCTCATTATGCTGGGATTTGCGGAAGATGGGCTGAGTATTTGGAGCACCTGTATCAAGTTGACCCCCCAGCAGTGATTTTTGACGCAAGAGATGTCGCGATCCCTATGCTAGATCCACTCATCAGCGAAGAACCTCCTCCCCTGAATAAGATTAGGGAAGTGATATCTAAGTCTGCGAGTGAAAAAGAGCGTGCAATTGGAGTATCCCTGGGTATGCATGTTGTCCTAGCGGCTATCTAGCAGTCTGGTGCCATTCATACAGACCTGTTCAGGAGTGTGGCTAACCCTTTCTGGAAGGGGAAAGACTAGCATGGCATCACACTCCCCAGCATGCTGGACAATGTTGTCGCTCACATTCTTGAGACAGATTCGTCACCATCTACTAAGCCACCAGAGCTGGGAATAATCTGGATTCATACGTGGCAACTCCACAGTAAACCTGAGACTTGGAGTAATTTCGACAATGGATATTGGTCTAACAGAATATATATTGGTACCGTAGTGCTGTAAAGTGTGGCCTGTCAAGCTTCTTCCCTGAGACAAGGCTGTTTCAACATTTTCATAGACTGGGTAATGAATGGTGAGAGGTACCATCCAAAGTCATTGTGGAGCAACACTGGGCAATATCACGCTTTGCTGATGATGTTATCCTATCTCCGGGGTCTGGAATCGATAGCGGCGGCTCTCGATGCATTCGGCAATGAGGCAAACCCATTGTTCGGAGTACTGTTTAGTCGTTACATTCTTGTGGCGAGGATAGTGGCCACAGAGAGCTTTACACTTCTTGGTAGTGTAGTTCATGACTCTGGTTGTCAGATCAGGAGCTCAGTAGCTGGTCTGGCCTAACAGTATGAGCCATGAACGCGGTGGGGGGGGGAGTCTTGTATTACCAGGAATCCTGGAGGTTTAGCGATGCTGCACACTACTCCCTGCAGCTAGCAACACACCTCTATTTCGGTTAGACGGATGATGACTCGAACAAACGGTCAAATATGGCCAGGGTCAAGCAGGCACTGTCCAGTCGGTATCACATAGGTCCCACGACTGCCACCAGCACTGGGTTCTAACCGAGTATATTTCCTTACTACCCCTGTGGCTGTTGGGAGATTTTGAGTCCAAACTATTGCTTCCCCTCGCTGGACTCCATGGTGGGTGGAGGTTCAGGAAATGAAGTCTAATTTGTATGATTTCTAAAGATTAATAAAGAACTAGCTCTCTCCCTGACGACCTACATAATCCCTAGGCTAATCCATCTGGAAACATCACACGTCGCTCTGGAACCTTTCCAGCTCCCAAAGGGCAAGAATGGGAATCAGAATGCTTCCCAGGCTCCCAGCCTAAGGGAGGAGAAAAGTCCTCCTCAGGCCATTAAGGAAATTTTATCTGGTAAAACTGAAAGTATCTCATATAGTTCATACCTCGTAGTGAAGACCATTGCTGGCATGTTAGTCATGGATCTTGATATTTTTACTGTACATCACAAGATAATTGAGGTGTGTCAACGTGATCCTCGCATCACTCCACAGTGAGATGATAGCCTGATAGTCAAAGTTTCATCCTCAGACGAGAGTGACCGTCTGTGTGCGATATGCGTCATTCCTGGGGCTCCGAAAAACTTTCTGACACCAAGTTCCAGAAGGTTCGTGCAGTAGGCAGATTGGTGTACGTGAAGGTCAAATGCCCACTTGCCAGGTTGGTTTTATCATGGAAAATCACTCTTTGAATCTGTACACGCTAGACAAACTAACAGAGACTGTAATCTCATTGATAAAAAGACTTTGAACGTAGAGTATATTATATAAACGTCTTTGACAGAATGTGGTATCATTTTAGAAATTCCACTCGAAGCTACCCTATCTCTAGCAATGAATGTCTGAAAGTTTGGTAAAGGGACTCCCATCACAAAATGAGTAAATATGAACATAAGTAGGCCAGTGCTAGGAAGTACAAAGCTTAATTTTGACACATGTGAGATGAAAATCAGCCTCTTGGAGGAAAACAAAAAATTATTAATTCATAAGTTGTCTAACTAATGCTGAAGAAAACTGACAGAACCTCCTCCAGTGGATAAAGTTCATTGTCGCATGGACGACTTTTTCTAATAATTGTTTTCTTAAACTATTTGGCCTTGCTTCCCACCCTGTGACATTCATTTATTATTGCTACTGCCTATATTATTGTCGAAATTTACGTTTCGTGAGGACTCTTGTCTGCCCTTAAAAAATCGTGAGAACACCAGGATGCTTTTTTTATCAATCATCATCATCGATTATATTCAATCCTCTGTTTTACTGATGTTTTTATATTTCGTCATTTTATAGGTAAAGAATGATTTTTTTATTTGACTTTTTTTGGATGTACGATATACCTTTCTTCCCTTGGTACTGTTGCTCGTGCTTAACCCCCCCACCACGGGTTTATGTCCTGTCTCCTGTCGTTTTTTTGTAAATTCTATTACATGCAGATGACTCCACATGTGCTCAGCCAGCAAGGAGTCTATCAGTAGGACCTAGTTACCGATCCTGATTTCCCAATTCCTTGAAAATGTGTTCTTTTTTAATGCAATTGATATCGATACTGTTATTGTTGTTAAATTGTTATTAAAATCTTGAAAACATTTAAGACAATGAAATAATGTAAAAGACCCATTCCAAAAGTCAAGGAAATGGGTAAACAGGTGTGGTAGGTAGGTCTAATAACGGACTCCTTGGTGACTAAGCACTTGTAGAGCCAGCTGGTCTCGCACTATATAACAGGCCAATATTTACTACAATTGATCCTATTCTTCTGTCTGTAAATACGTCTGTTAACATACTTTATCGTCTTTACCAATTTGCTAATATTAAAGCGAGAGATGACAGAGCGGTCTTTACAATATATCTTAAACTTTTTCACTAATCTATTGGCCTGTATCAACAGGATTTTGATCACATGCACTTTCTTACCGAGGCTTTCCTGTTCCTGCATTGTTAGTTCAACAACCAGCAGCCAATGGACTCCTGTATATACTCAGTTTCTATTTACCGTTTGAGGAATTTGAGATTTCATTATTTACCGATTTTTTTTAACAATAAGGATAAAACCTGACCATAATATCAAATATGTTCATTTCTGGCTGGGAGTAATTATCTATATTTCTGCTGCATAGTCATGATGTGAAAGGATAAAAAATGTTTTTGTTAACAAACTCATGTATTTAGAAACAGTTTTAACAAATCGTCATTGTCAGTCTGCATCAGATCATTTCGTCACGTCAATATTAATTTATTTTTCTACAAAATACTTTAAGAAAACAATGAATATCTACAAAATGTCAAATAAAAGGACATTGAATAAGGTGGCTCTGAACCACCGTACTGTACAAGTATGGTACAAAACTTGTGTTACAATCCACAGCCTGATCATCATGAAAGACATGTTGACTGCAGCCAACCCTGTGAGCTGTAGTGCAGTCTTAAGGGCCGCCGTGCCCTCCACCATCCATAATACATGTGCTTCTATTCAATAATAGCAGCAGCAGCAGTAATAGCAGTAGTAACTGACTCAGCAATCATTCAGACTATAATAAGCCGAAAATGTACATATGCTGAGCACCACCTGAAACCGAACATGACCGGGGATGACTAGAGTCAGCGTGGGTCATCTTTTTTATCCGGGGGCCGTGGGTGCGCCGGAGACGACCCACGCATGGAAGGGATGAGAGGTGGAGGTAAACCAGGTGCTAGTGGGGGAGGCTGCGGGTGGCCTGGGGGAGCTCCTGGGTGTCCGGGCCCGTGGAGAGACCCCAAACCAGGTGGATGTAAGCCGTGGGGTCCTCCGGGCGGGCCGGGGCCCAGGGGGGAGCCACCTTTTAGTAATGACGGCGCCATGTGAGAAACTGAGGGATGTGGAGGAAGAAGCGCTGACGTTGGCGGATACATGCTCCCCGGGGGGACGCCGGCCGCTAAATGGCTGCGCTCAAACAGGTCTCGCGCCACTGCTGCCTGCTGCTGCTGCTGCTGTTGCTCTCTGTACCGCTCGCTGAGAATTAACGATGACAAGGGGTTGGAGTGCAACATCTGCTCCTCTCGAGCAGCAGCAGCAGCGAAGTTCATTCTCTCTCTCAGCGGATCCCTCAGTAATCCCAGGTCGTGCACTCTGGCCACGGAGATTTCTTGGGCCGACCGGTACGGATCTCGGAATGGATCTGCCCAAGGACCCAGATGCGGCCCTCCGCCGCCGTACCCCGGCGTACCCAAGAGTCGCGCTCGATCCAGGGCAGAATTGGCCGAGGTCGTGGCCATGCTCATGGCAATGGAGTGCGGAGGCAACAAGCCCACAGATACAGGGGGCGGTAACACTGAGGGCGGCGGTACTCCGTGTGATAACTGGCGGGGAGGCGCCTCCTTTCCACCAACTATCATCACCTCATCCTTTGATTCTAACTTCACACGAGGGTCTAACGTTCTGGAGCCCGGCCTCGAGCCCGGGCGCGAGTCGGGCCGGCCGTCGCCCTTCATGCTGGAGGAGGGCATCACGCCCAGGGGGGGCTGGCTGGAGCCTGGTGCGGAGGGGTGCGACGACGGCCGGTCCTTGGGATCGGGGCGGAGGGGCGACCGTGACCCGTCGCGGCGCGGTACACTACGATCATGACTAGTTTCCAAGGTACGAACTGCCCGATCCTTTTCATGCTCAGCCCGTCTCTCTCGCTCTCGCTCCCGCTCTCGCTCCTCCCTCTCCCGTCTCTCTCTCTCTTCTCTTTCTCTTCTTTCTCGCTCTTCCCGTTCTCTTCTCTCTCGTTCTTCCCGCTCTCTTCTCTCTCGTTCTTCTCTTTCTCGATTTTGTCTCTCCTCTTCTCTCCGCTCTCTCTCGTACATGGCAGCATCAGGCTTCACAGGCCAAGGACCAGGCGTTGGCCCGTATGGTGTGGGTGCCCTTATCCTGTGTGTATAAAGACGATGCCTACCATTAGTTAGAAATTCCTAAATGTTTCATTTAACTTATAATTCAATAAAAAACAAGAATTTACTAAGTAATTACAGGACAATTATTTTATGATATCCATCTTAGTTAAAGAATGTTACTATCAAATTCACAATGAAAATCCGAGTCTTGTAACTAACCTCCAAGCATCATGCGGAGTCGGCTGTGGCACAGTCAACCCTGGCGGTAGGGACTCCCTGGAAAACATTGACCCAGGGGGAGGTCCTGGTATGGATGTGGGCGTTACTCCTACATGGTGGAATCCTGACGGAGGCGGTGCGGATGGCCCCGGAGGTGCCCCTCCAGGATATCTCATTCCTCCAAGTCCAGGCACAGAGGGCGTCAGGTGATGACCGAGGAGAGGGGACTCGAACCGGTGCGATGGACCTGGTCCAGCTAATATAGACGGCCCTAAATCTGGGGGTCTTGGTAAAGTTGGGAAAATGGGCGCTCCTGCCGTACTGCCCACGCCTGGGCCCGGTGGAGGGCGCAGCAGGTCAGGGCCTCCAAGCTTAGCACCAGGTTTCTCTGGAGTCTGCTTCTGCTGGTGGTAGTAGATCTCCCAGGCAATGCGCACGTGCATTGCATTCCAGCGACCCGTCTTCTGCAAAAGAAAAAGAGACTCATGAAAAATATTTCTTTGTATGTTGACACAAACTCTCACGCTCGCAAATACACATTGCGTTACATAAAATTACATAAATGTATATGTATTTTGCATGTGCATGTGCATTTACGTGTGCGTGTGTGTGCGCTCGCGCGCATGTGGGTGTTTTAATGTTTCAAGGCAAGTTATAAATGACCTCAAACATCCTGCAACCTACATGCCTCCTGGAACCACACTGGAGAAAGAACCAAAACCCAAAAATATCTCAAGCATGATGTCTCGTCCTTCAGAAACCCTTCAGCATTGCATCTCGATCTATGCAGCAATATCTCTAAAAGGAACTCAGTCAACGAGATCAATGTGCTGTGAAGGAACTTCTCCCCAACACTAACAAAAAGAAGAGAAAGGTCTTCAAAAAAAAAACTACCACTGAAACCAGGTCAGCGGAGGTGATAAAAAACAAAAAAAACTACCACTGAACCAGGTCAGCGGAGGTGATAAAAGCACCCTTCAGGCTGGTCAGAGGGCTTCAAAGGCCATACATCAGCCTGGGAGTCTCACAGGACAACACTCAGGACACAAAGACCATGAAGCGTGCAGATAGTGATGATGGTATGGGGTGATTTTGATGGTTCCATGGCCAGGGCGGCACGTGTTTCCTTCCTATGAATGTGTCAATGAAGCCTGATTCATCAGTACTCTATTTTATGCACAATGGAACCCTGCTCACAGGAAAAACAACAACAACAAAAATACATTTTAGAGTGGTCCGTGCCTCTCCTGAACTTTGGTAAGCCAGTTTTGAATGGCAATGCCTCCTTTAGCTCTCCTAGAAATACAGTTTCCTGACATCATGCACATTGGAGGCACTTGTAGCTTTTGTGTGAACAAATATCTTGCATTTCTAGTACTGAAGGGCAAGGAAGCATAACTTAAGTTTAAAACTTAAACAGAGCCATCCTTTTGAAGGGAACAACATTGAAGGTTTAAGTGTTCCACTGTCTCCCAAGTGAAGGGGTAGTACATGCACTATAGGGCAAGTCATGTCAGGGCATAGGGCCTAATGCTTCTCCTCACCACATGGGAAACAGCCCTGACTTGGTCTGGAGTAAGTAGGAAGGCCACAAATGTGATCCAGCCCCTAATATAACTTGCTATTCTTCTAACTAGTATCTGCTGTTGATTTGATGGTAAAACCCACTGGCATTTGCAAGTAATTATATATTACACTTTCACACAACTACATTTTTTTCTGGTGAATGTAGTTATCTTCCAAGAAAATAAGTTCTACAAATCTGTCTGAAGGAAGCCTGTTGAAGAACTACTGCCAGACCACCAAAAACCTTCCTCAGAAAGTAATGGACTGGAGGCCATTTCAGTCCATGGTGCAAGTGAAGACTCATTCTGCAGTGTAATTTGAGGCCCAAAGCTAAAAAGCACTTTGACAACAAGCTCTAGATTTTTTAACCAGACTCAGCTCCTTATCAGGCTTCTAAAAAGCTTTTGGTGGTTATCAGTATTCCTAAATTTTATCAGGGAAGATAAAATATAGGTATTTGGTTTTCACACACACAAAAAAAAAACACCACTGTATGTACAGTCCATACCTCTCTATGTGTATGTAGATGATATCACCCACTTGCACTCGCTCATTCACCCACCCACTCTTACAACCCTCTCACTCTCATTCATCTAATGCACTCTCATAATAACAACAATCTGATAGCACAATTTCAAATATCATAAGAAGTCTCACTGAATTCTGAATTTGAAAATGACATTCAAAACTGAAACTTTAATGCTAGGGCTTTTCTGAGGAGGACAACTCAGTAACTACATTATGCACAAGAGAGAAGAATGAACAAAGCATACCACTGGTTTCCGTTGGCTTGGTTCTCCTATCTGTAAACAGAATATGAAACACTTGATTAAAAACACATTTCCAACTCTCTCTCTCTCTTTCTTTTTTTTTTATTACTTTTTTTTCTCTCTTTCTCACAAGCAATCCTTTTCTCTTCAATATAATTCAAGAAAAAAATTCCACCCCAACAGACAAAAGCTTACCTTGGGAGGAACAGACGACAGATGAGAAGGAGGCGCAAAGGTTGAGGTAGGGGGATGCACGATCGGGGTCAGGCCTGGGGGATAGCTACTCCCTAGGCTGCCCCCCGGCTGGTACAGACTGCTTTCCAGTCCAACTTTGTTCACCTCCTTAAACTGGTTGGATAAAATAAAGTCAATATATACAAATACATAGCTTCCTCTAGAGAATATCCCACAATTTCACAGGCGGTTTTTCCATCTCACGGCAATCGCAAGGACCAAACCCCGCCACCCATCTCTAACACGAGCGAACAAACTTACCAAGGAGGGTGTTGCTGAATGGGAGAAGAGCCCAGATGCACCCGGGGGAGGAAGTGGAGGAGGCGGTCCCATGTGCTGCAGCAGGTGTTGATGGACATGCGTATGCTGGTGTTGGTGGTGGTGCATTTCCGTGCGCAAGAAGGCTGGGGGAGCAGTCAGGCTTCCTATGCCTAAGCTTCTTTCTTGCTGAGCCAAAAACCTGGAATCTAACTCCCTACGCAGAAGATCTGCTTGGCCTGCGGACACGGAGACAGCCCTTGGTGAGTGAACCCTTCCCATGGGTGTGACATTTATCTAAATCTTATAAATAAATAAATAAATAAACAAGTGTGTGTGTGTGTGTGTGTATACGCATGTGTATATGTATGTCTGTCTATACATATGTGTATATATGTATACATATGTATATGTATATGTATACATATGTATCTGTATATATGTATACATACATATATGAATATATGTATATGCATATGCATATGTGTGTGTGTGTGTGTGTGTGTGTGTGTGTGTGTGTGTGTGTGTGTGTGTGTGTGTGTGTGTGTGTGTGTGTGTGTGTGTGTGTGTGTGTGTATGTGTGTGTGTGTGTGTGTGTGTGTGTGTGTGTGTGTGTGTGTGTGTGTGTGTGTGTGTGTGTGTGTGTATGTGTGTGTGTGTATGTATATGTATATGTATATGTATATGTATATGTATATGTATATGTATACAAATGTATCTGTATATATGTATACATACATATATGAATATATGTATATGTATATGTATATGTATATGTATATGTATATGTATATGTATATGTATATGTATATGTATATGTATATGTATATGTATATGTATATGTATATGTATATGTATATGTATATGTATATGTATATGTATATGTATATGTATATGTATATGTATATGTATATGTATATGTATATGTATATGTATATGTATATGTATATGTATATGTATATGTATATGTATATGTATATGTATATGTATATGTATATGTATATGTATATGTATATGTATATGTATATGTATATGTATACAAATGTATCTGTATATATGTATACATACATATATGAATATATGTATATGTATATGTATATGTATATGTATATATATATGTATATGTATATGTATATGTATATATATATGTATATGTATATATATGTATATGTATATGTATACATATGTATATGTATACATATGTATATGTATATGTATATGTATATGTATATGTATATGTATATGTATATGTATATGTATATGTATATGTATATGTATATGTATATGTATATGTATATGTATATGTATATGTATATGTATATGTATATGTATATGTATATGTATATGTATATGTATATGTATATGTATATGTATATGTATATGTATATGTATATGTATATGTATATGTATATGTATATGTATATGTATATGTATACAAATGTATCTGTATATATGTCTACATATGTATATGTATATGTATATGTATATGTATATGTATATGTATATGTATATGTATATGTATATGTATATGTATATGTATATGTATATGTATATGTATATGTATATGTATATGTATATGTATATGTATATGTATACAAATGTATCTGTATATATGTATACATATGTATATGTATATGTATATGTATATGTATATGTATACTAAATATACATATGAATAAAGATATAGATTTAAAGAAGTGGGAAAGAGGGAGTCTGTATTTCAAAGAGTGCTTGTGTGCCTGGGTGGAAGAGTGTGGGTGCATGTAATTGTAGATATCGGAGTTCATGTGCTGTGAACACAAGTGTGCACATTTTATATTAGTCAGTCTTTCTTTTTTTCTTATCTCACTGGAACACAACTGTTTACTTATCGTTGATAATACTTATAATGTAGAGAGGGGGAAAAAAAACTAGCAAAATGAAAATGAAAACAACTCATATACACTATCTAGATTACACTTTGGAAATAAGCAAGTTCTGCTGCTTTAATTCACTATAATTTACATGCAATAGTTGGTTTGGTCTGATAATTGTATGACATTTATGTGGAGCCCTTGAATAGACATACATTTATTTTTTCTCTTATATCCAACGGATAGTAATCAAATCAAAATTACCGCGAGTATACCGAAACCTATAATTTCTTAAACATGAAGTATATCTTTTACAGCTCCTCCTCTACACCTAACATCACGAAACAATGAGGAGTGGCTCACCTTCACCTCAAGGTCAAAGAGGTGCCTTACCTAGAGGGTCTGAGGTGATATGAGAGGGAGGGAGGAGTGGAGAGGAGGTAAGCTGCTGCGATGGAGGAAGCGGCGGTGCGAACATGCCCGTGGGCGGCAGGGGAGCCGAGACTGGAGGTGGCGCCAGGGAGAATGACGGCAGGGGCAGCGGAGGCCGATTCAGAGACAATCTGGCAGTACTGGTAGATGGCAAGCTTGATACTGGGCTGAAAATACATGGACGTTAATAATACTTCTCTGACTTGTTATTAATCATATGGATGTTATTCTTCCCTGCTAAACCCTGCAGGACAGTTTTTTTGTCTTCTTCCATTAGTGAGAGTGTCAATAAATGTTGGTTATCATTATTGGTACTACTGATGGAAGAGGTGGCAGCAGCTGATTATAATGATGGTGATAGTGGTGGCGACAATTGATGGCTGGACGCTGGAGTGGGGGGTGAGGGAGTGATAAGCAGTGGAAATCATTGTGTTGATGTATCAGAACTATTGGTGAACATGGTAATAATAATGGTTACAACATCAATGCATCTAGTCACCACTGTCACCTCCATCACTCTCACCTATGGTCATAGCAACAAGCAATTGTTCTCTTTTGGTTGATCCTCTGAATCTACCTTTCTGTCAAGGGCAAAGGTGTATTGGGAAAAATCTTCTTTAACTAAACACAGCAAGACCATTCTTTATCAGCCATCATTCAATACATTGTAAATCTGAGTTTCCACTAAAAATTATATACTGTAAGTTGATAACACGGAATATGCAGTAATTTTTGGTCCAAAAATATAAAACGAACATTCATCCTAAAATAAACATTACCATACTTCATATAACTGACTGTTCTTCATAAAACAGGTTAAAATATAAGTGCAAGTTACACTCACCTTGGCCAGGGCCGTGGTAGTGAAGGAATCGTCTGAGCACTACTCACTGCGGTGTTTGCTGAACTGTAAGACAAGCTGAATTTTACACTTTGCCTTCACCTGCATACTGAGTTTTCAACAATTTGTTTACATTTTTTCCCCAAGTCTCACCCTCAGATATTAACCAGGAAAAGAAACACATTCTCCATTATAAAGAAAAGTGTACAGTCTTTTAATTACATATCATAACTGACATTTTCCTCTCATTTTTAAAAGACATATTCATATGTATTGTAAGAAGATCGTTTTTGTACACGACTAAATATACATCTGTTAGGTTTAGTAGCTTAGAGCAATAAAAAGCAATGTTAAGGATGACTCTAGTAAAAATACCTTCTCAAGTTTATCATATCAACAAACAAATCATAATACTGAAGAGATTTTCGTTTTCATTGCCTTAGGACGAAACACCTATTTGCTAAACAGTGATTTATCATATTTGTTTTCTTTCCTTTCCTACAGAGCAATCCTGATCTTCTGTATTATGTCCAGGTTCTAGTTTTCAAAACAACGTGAGAGGCGCCACAAAATACTTGTTGAAAAACTTACCTGAAAGGTGAGATGTGTGGTTCGTGTGCTCTTGGCGAGTGTCTTGCAGATGGGGGGATGACCGGCTGAAGATGTGGTGTGGTGACCTTTGTGGCACTGGGTGGTGTAGAACGGGGATAACCTGGCTCAACCTTGACCGACGCTGTGGTTGGCACTGAGTGAGGAGTGTTGGAATAGGTCTTTACTGGGTTTGGTCGGGGCGCCTCGCCTGGTTCGGTTTTCACTCCATAGGGGAGAGTGCCTAACGGACCCGGGCCTGAGCCCGGTGGAGGTGCAGGCACTGGACCACTGGGTGCACCTGGGGTTGGAGGTTTTACTGCTGTAGGAGTAGCACCAATGGGGGATGGATGTGGAGATCGAACGTGACTACGTGGTGACGCTACTGGGCTTGATTTTATGTTAACGTTATTGTAGAGAGTATGGTTGTGCTGAGGGGTTGGAGACACCAAGGCACTCACACTGTACTTGCCTACCCCTGGGCCCATCCCCTGGCCTCCCCCGCCTCCCCCTGCCACTGGTCCATTGCTAACACGACCAGTGCTGCCTACTATGTGATTATGAGATACACTGGTTGATGTTGTGGTAGTAGCTGATGTAGTAGTTGTGGTTGTAGTGGTGGTGGTTGTGGTCGTAGATGAGGCTACAGGATGAGAGAGGTAGTGTGGCGATGAATGCGGTACATGAACTGAAGGCTGTCTCGAAACCTGTGCGGACGCCGGCGTGGGGGGGGCCGCCTGAGGTGGATGATGCGCTGGTGTGGATGGATGTGGGAGGTGGGGCGTGGGGGTAGTCGTTGGGGTGATAGTTGGGGTGGTGGTAGCAACAGTCGTGTGGGAGGTGTTGACCGTATGAGGTGCTAGCGGGGTAGGAGTGTGAGAGGGAGTGTGTGATGCGAGCGAGTGTGTCGTGGGTATGCTAGAGGCAGTTGTGTGTGGTACTGGCGTGTGTGGCACTGGCGTATGTGGCACTGGCGTGTGTGGCACTGGCGTGTGTGGCACTGGGGTGTGTGACGTGGGTGTGTGTGGCGAGGGAGTGTGTGTGGTGGGTGTGTGAGGAGTGTGAGTATGAGGTGTGAGGGTGTGTGGCGGAGGTGGGTGTTGGGGAAGAGTGTGTGGTGTGGATACCTGCGGACTAGGCGCGTGTGGCGTGGGCGTGTGGGGCGTGTGTGGCGTGTGGGGCGTATGGGGTGTGTGTGGCGCGGGCGTGTGAGGTGTGTGCGGCGTGGGCGTGTGAGGCGCGTGTGGTGTGGGTGTGTGAGGCGCAGGAGTGTGAGGCGTGTGTGAGTGTGCTGAAGGTGTGTGTGGGGTGTGTGTGTGGGCCGTGGACGCGTGTTGTGGGGGTGGGTGAGGGGCAGGCGTATGAGGTGTGGGAGTGTGTGTGGCTGGCGTATGAGGTGGATGAGTGTGCTGCGAAGGTAGGTAGATGGGTTTGTGGTCCCCAGCTGTGGTTGCAGTAGGAGGCAGGGCTGTGTTGACACCACCGACACTTGGCGGCTGATAGTTCACCGGGTAATGACCTAGCACTTC